ATATATATTTGATCTTGTTTTAAACAGAAATCGGTTTCCATATCAGGTCTTTGAATTACAACGTACAAGGCGACATGATACTGTTTTCCTAAATTATATCATATGCTATCGCGATAGAACTGCTTCTAATACAAGGGTCGTGGACTACAACGTACTGTGCATAGACAGGGGCTTAATTAAATATCGAGAATAGTGCCTTCTCTACGTAACTGTTATTAAAGTTTGATAAAATCACTTTCAACAGCTACATGATTACAATAAGTTCTCCTCAGTGCTTGCAGCGGATACAATACAAAGTGTTGGACCTGTCATACAACTCACAGCACAATCTGGCTCCTGGTTACCTATCTGAGCTCGTGCAGATTTACCAGCACACGAGAGCTCAGGGACCCAATGTCAGCTCATGGTTCCCAAGACGAGAACATGGCGGGAGAGCTTTTACTGTGGAAGCTCCAACTTTGTGGAACTCATTACCAATCTCCATCGGAGTGTGTTACGGTACTTTAAAGACCAAGCTAAAGACCTTCCTTTTCCATAAACATTTTCATTAATTTAACATTATACTTTATTTATATGAGTTACCTATATAAGAATGAACTATTATTATTATTATTATTACTATTATTATTATTATTATTACTATTATTATTATTATTATTATTATTATTATTATTATTATTATTAATATTATTATTCTATTATTTATTATTATTATTATTATTATTATTATTATTATTATTATTATTATAAATCATACTACCGTATCCTTTATGCCTACAGCACAACGATGGTACACTTTCAATATTTCCGTTGAACAATTAACGAGCCAATCATATGCTCCACATTTTTGATGCTGAAGTTTCCAAGTTCTATAAAAGACCGTAACTTCGACGAAACACTGAAAATCGTGAAAGTCAAACTACAACTGAAGAGGTTACATTAACTCCCTGCATTATACTATGTTTCACTGAACAACATGACGTCAAAGCCACTGTGCATTTTGTTCTTGAGCATCCTCGCTCTTAATGTTCTCCTGCCGGTAAGTTCTGTAAAGCCACTGGCCCTTATATTTTACATATTATACAGTATTTTGTGTTGCAAAATAATATGCTCTCTTTGCTAAGCAAAATGAATAAACACAATTTGCCACTTTTAGTGTTAATTCGATGTTAGTCATTAATGAATAAAATGTATCTACGTAAGGAAGATTCATAAAATTTCAAAATAAAAACATTTTTGTGCTGCTTAGAATGGACAAATTAATGTTAAACTGTATATGCTTTGCCTCTCTCCGCCCAGAAGATAAATGGGTACCCGGTACCCTGTTGGGTAGAATGCTACTACGCTGAATACAGAATCAGCATTTAGTACAACTACCGGTATAGAATCTAGTAGTATTTAAGCATGTTAACCTCAATGAAAAGGGTTTTGAAAAATGTTGGAAGAGATATACTGTACTATAGCTAATTATGTCAATGTAGGATGATGCATCTAAACCACTCCCCTGTATACTTTTCATTGTATCCTTTTTTTGCCATACTGTATGCCTATCTAAGAAAATAACCATAATTATATTACTTATATTATTACACGATTTCTAAGGAGTAATTTTATTTCAATAATTATGTACTCTTTCTCTTTTATGTAGGACTCATTAGCAACAAATACAAACGGTAAGTTAAGCAATGTTGAGAAATTAATTAAATTTAATGCCATCTAAATCAACTTGAATATATATATATATATATACAATAATTATTATAATATAATATATATAATATATATACAAAATGATCTAACAAAATATATTTTAACCCCATTTGGAGGACATTTATTTTTCTTTTATTATGTCAAAACAACTAGCAGTAGCCTAAAAAAAGAAACATAATCATTCAAATTTATATTTTGAGACCTTTTGAGCGTTAAAATCTAAATTTTTCCTCAGTCTTTAGAATAGACATTGGTATAGGCCAACTGCATTTTACTTCGTATAAATACAATCTTGTCAATTTGGACCAATAACCATATTGGGGATATCTTGTTTCGTGTATTTTTATATAGGATTATAATCTATACCTTACAGCCTGCACCCTGATTTACAAGTCGTACTCTATTCATGCTATTCTATCTTCTGCATACAATATAAAGCTCGATATCCAGAAATAAAGAATAGTTGGTTATAACGTTGAACCCGAATCATGAAACAATATCGGGACTATAATAGTTTTTGTTGTTTTTATTACATTTCTGTTCATAGGCCTATCATAAATGAATTGTTTTTGCACTGCAATTGTTTGTTATAAATTATTTACTATTCAACTGTAGCTTATTCTTAGGTCATTTATAACAAAATAATGACTAAATCTATGTCATCATTGTACGAAAACACGCCAAAAATCATAAGGGTCCTGAGGACAGGACGATATACGTTTTTCCATAAAATAATATTTATTATGTTCGTCAACCTCTGTACGCTGACAGTGACGATTTAAACCAGCAGACGTGAATCGGCGGCGTAGCTAGGTACGAAAGTGTCCTGGTGCAAGATTATTGCCGGGCCGTTAGATTTGACACTGATAGAGGAATTCCCTAGTTGTCAGAAAATTCATCGTGAGGAATATTTTTTTAACTCTTACTTCTAAAGACCATTGATAATGGGATTCGTAACTATTTTAAGAGGGGCATAATCGGTCTGAGCAGCAGCTCTAAGCTAATAGTAGTGGCGGATTTGTATATAGGGGGGACAGGGAGGTGAAGACCCCCTCCATGGTTTGGGCTGAGTAAGAAAATTTATGATTATAGCACCTCTAGATGCAGTGCAGGGGCTTATGTATTTTTGTTCGCAATTCATGTTAATTTATAGCAACAACGCTTTTCCGACTCAGAATTTTATACTGAACAAGAAAAATGTTGGTGCCAATTTTTCGAGCAGGTTAACTGACCGCCATCTTGAAAAACACGATGGCGGACACATCTAGTCAAGCATATCATTATTTGGTATCATTAAAAAGGAAATAATGCACTGAATATTTTCGGAGAATAGTAACGGAGATATTCGCCATTAAACATGTCATTGTCTGCTGCCTCTATTGGTGAAAATTTCATTGTTGTAGTTCTTTATACAAATTTACCTGATTTCTCAGTTCTAATACCGATACTTTGTAGATTCTTGTTTGTAACTGATTGTGACAGATACACTGATAACAAAAATATTTTTATTCACGCTTATTAGTTTTTTTATAAAAATAAATTGAAAATCATCATTTTTGTTGTGTATAACCTTTATTATATTTAAATTGAGAGTTTCCTGATATATTTTTTAAGTGCACATCAACCCCCAACAGATGCAATTACATAATATAGATACAATAATTACATATTCTTACTACAGGATGAAACTATTACCCTTCAGACACCATGCCGGTATTTCTGAGACTACTATAATTGCCGGGGGCCTAAAACATAATCATTTAGCAGAAAACATAAGGTACATTTTATTAATGTCAGATTATAGATAATAGATTCACATAATAATAGCCACTAATCATAAAAAATTAAAAGTGGGTAAATAATTCCCTGTCCAACACCATCATTCTGAGTCGAGGCTAAAATAATAATTACATAGCCTAATATGATTGACAGTAAAGAATAAAAAATAAGTTAGATGAAACACGACTGCCTAATTTTGAGAGCTATTAGTAGGCCTAATATCAAATTGTTAGAAATTATTATGGACCTCAGATGATAATACAAATGGAGTGATCTAATACTATTTTATGAAAACCCTAGTGTCCAGCACATCTTAATTTCCTCTATGCTAGGTGGTATTAAGCAACAAGAAAGTATTATCAATTGTAAGTTACACCGACAGAAACATTGACACTGTAGAGGTCCCAAGTCTTCCGGAACTTACAAGCCAAGAGTCTCCGGAAAATCAAGACGATCTCCCGCACTCCTGCAAACAAGCAAGAATCTCCACAAATTTATAATTTTACATGTTTTCACTGCTTTATTATAAATTTTCTAAGGCAGTCAGTGCCGTGGGTATCACTATGTGTAGCAAAATATAAAGAAATGTATTAAGATCAGTAGTACAGTACAGGGAGGAGGAAAGCCGACCGGGCCTCCTAAATATAAAAAAAAAAATGGGGTAGAAATGAAATTTATGTCTGAGAGGGCCATTTCCGGCCATCTAAACGTGTCACAATCATAAATATTTTCTTCAGCTCCAGGGTTTATGTGGTTCACACCTTCCATCTATGACAGTAACTCCCTTCCCCTTTGACCCATCACCGCAGATCTCCCGGAAATGACTTCTTCTTGGAACCCATGTATTACTATAGGTGCCCGCTTTTTGTAGGTAGATTTTTTGTCAGATTCGGAGAATTGTTTCTGCTAGGTTTGCCAACGATATTGTTTCAGCGAAACCAAGATGCACGAAGGCTGTTATTTCATCATCCTTTGATTTTGTTTAGTTCCAACAATTAGACAGAAATAGATAGAGCAGAGAAATTTTAATTATAAAAATTAAAATAAAATGTTATTATTGCAGGTGAATTCATATCTACAATTATTATTTAGAATTATGGTCAATATCAAGAAATTGTCACCTTTATTGTTGTAACCCCCAAATTCCGGATTCACAAGTACCGAGATGGTTTCTGGTGTGATATATTCTCATTCTTCAAAACTTGTACATAAAAAGTTTCAACCATAGATAAATCTGTTATCGTTTATTTCAATAAACATCGCCTCTAGAGCCTCATTCGGAATAAACGCCTTAATTTTTTCCTCAAATAATCAACTCCCCACCCAACCAAAATGACAGTAAACAGAGCAACATAATTGTCAACAGATTCTATTGATTTTCTACTCCAGTAGAATTGCATTTTTTCCTTTCATTTTGATAGTAATTATGTGTTGTAGTGATGTTTAAGAGCATATATTTTGAGTATATACGCATCAAATTCACACCAAAAGAAAAAAAAAATAATAATAAACGCCTCTCTCAAATAAACGCCCCCTTCTTAACAATGAAAGTCCCTGGGTATATATTTCAATAAATATGGTATTTACAATTGCTCTGATAATCAAGCGGTCTGCTTAACGATTTTGTTTTTGGCGAGACTGGAAAATACCAGGATATTGCAGCTGTATTAACATGCACTTAAACAAATATATTGATAGGAAACTGTCACTGCAATGAACAAATAATATGGGTATTTACATTGTTTAATGAAAAAAATACCCATGAATACAAATGAAACTTGTTTATCAATGTATCAAATAAGTTACAAACATAAGACTCTACAAAATATCTGTATTAGAACCAAGAAAACCAGGCAACTTCCTAGAAACAATAAAAATGAAATTTTCACCAATAGAGGGCAGCAGACAATGACGTTTTAAATGGCGAATATCTCCGTTTCTATGCATTTCTTCATATTAGTGTAATGAGAAAAATATTCAGTGCATGATTTCCTTTCTAATGATACCACATAATACTATGTTTGACCAGATGCGTCTGTGTTACGGCAAATGCCTTCTAAAACATTTGATAGCAACAGAAAGAGATTATGGCAGCAGATGTACAATTATATACAGATTTATTTACATTAGTCAAAGTTAAAACATATGTACAGAAAAACAAAGATAATCAGTGGCAGTGGTCAAGACAGCATAATAAAAGTGAGACTTACCACACATATCTATAGTTCAAGCATAGAAGATGGAGAAAGCTATCAGTACTTCATGGCAGCCCTTCAGATGGAATAAGACTCACCAAATATCATTTTGTACCCCAATTTATACCTTTGGATATGCAAATTAGGGCTTCAGTACTGGCTTAGGAAAATCTGCCTTTTATTGGTCAATTTCTTCCCGCCAAACACATTCGAACTTTCCCTCCAAAATTATCTTGACCCCTCGTATGAGTCATCCTCATCTTGGATAGGCTCCTTACAATTCCTAAAGTGGTCAATGTGGTCACCGGTTGCTATGACAACCTACTGTAGATTTACTATACCACACACAACTCTTGACATGTTTCTATAGCCTAGTCATTACTATGCTATGGAAATATAATAAAAGTAACATAAAATTATATACAAAATACTAACAATTAAGAAGGGCCATCACATCTGCCATCTTGTTTTCCAAGATGGCGGCCAGTTAACCTTCTCGAAAAAATTGGCACCAAAGTTTTTCTTGTTCAGTATAAAATTCTGAGTCGGAAAAACATTGTTGCCATAAATTAACATGAATTTTGCTACAGAAGCCCTTGTACTAATGGCCGGAAACGGCACTCTCAGGTTTATATATAGTATAATGGATACGGTATAATTTCCTTTTTCAACATTTTTTTTTTATAATTTTGAAAAAATAGGGGGTCGGGCAGGTTGGGGCCCCAGCTTTGAATACACCATTGAACACAGTAATGAATAATTACTCCTATAAAAACCGAATATTATTGAGGGTCCCGCTGCCAGTTTTTTCTTAAAAACTAAAGTTGGAAAATATTTCAATTATTATTTTTAGGTCTATTTATGAATAGGCCCCGATAGCCCTGCCCAGCAAACACAAAACGTTCTTATAACGTTCGCGAACGTTGTAGTTAGGAATGTCACAAAATAACGTTCCAACAACGTTGTAAGAACGTTCAAACGTTGTGACGCTGTTGTGAAATTAGGTTGTAAGTACGTACATGGTTCTACAAATTAACGTTTTATCACCAAACTGTAACGTTATTATAGCGTTCATATAACATGAATAATATTGTTGAATAAATTCATCTGGTTCCAAGTTAAATTTATTAGAATTATTACTTTTACGTTGAACCAAAAAAAAAAAACGTACAATAGATTACCTGTAACGTTTCATTGGCAGACTGCCAGCTTCTTCAGACAGAAGCCTGTGCTATTATAATGGTCTGGTTTGTTCCGGGTTACACCGGATTGCGCCACCAACCGCCCTTGATGTTTTAACGATGGTATCGAATTTTCCCCATTATTCTTCCAGTCTTTCGTCTTCAAAGTCGAATTCTAAAGGTTCGAAATAGTATGGCTCAAATTTTTTCATTATTTTGTTGGTCTTGATCAACTTGCTAACTTAGACTCCTTCGTATGCCGCGCTATACGATGTAAATACTAAGTTGCGTAATAAGATTACTGTGACTGTTATACCATAGAGAAAATAGAACATATTTTCATAGAACATAGGCCTATTTTCTCTATGGTTATACCGAGTCTCGTCATGTCAGTATGGCGGGGCGGATCCAGAGATGTCCAATAAAAGGGGTGGGGGTGGCCGAAAGGAAAGGGAGTCGAAAATGGGTCTGATCGAGACAACACCACCCTAGTGGGTCCGGGGCATGCCCCGCGAAATTTTTGTGTTCTAGACGCCCGAAAATAGCCCCTGATCATTTTTTCCCTTTTTTTCTTTAGGGGATCGGGGACGGCCCAGCATCCCACAAAATCCTCCCCTAATATACAATATAAAATACCCTCATTTTCAATAATTATGAGAAGATAAATTATTACAACTCAAATGTAATCATTATTCATGAGCAACGTAAAAATGCATTTACCGTCTGCTTCGCACCGCCCATCTGTTGTGATTTTTCAGATGTTAAGTTTGCTTGACACTTAGATGACTATTGAATGTATATTTTGACAGATGAGTGCAGCCAAGATGATGCACCAATTTGTATAGCCTATAAAAGATATTGTAATGATCCGGATGGAGCGTTTGCACCTGTTATTGCGCGCTGTCCACACATGTGTAGGAGGTGCCCCAGTAAGTCACTGCATTTTTCACGTGATCATTATTACCACTCAAATGTTTAAACATAGGCCTATGTAATAATTTATTCATGAGAAAAGTAAAAATGTATTCATGGCCGGCGGAACGGTAGTGGGGGCGGCTCCCCCCCCCCCCCCACTTTTTGGCAAAAAATATATAATGTCTGGAGATTTTTTTATGATCGGAAAGAAATGCAAGAAAAGAAAGAGGAAAGAAGGAGGAGAAGGATGGGAAAGAGAATGTTTATCCAGTCCCCGACCGAGTTACATTTTCTCGCAATTCACATTGGCGGATCTAGGGGAGGGGGTCATCGGTCCTGACCCTTCCCTTGGGCCAAAAAAAGGGGGGGGGGAAAGAATTCTAGACCTACCTGTTCAGGACCCGTGAGCTGATTTTTTTTTTTTTACACTTCAGAAAATTAAAAATTTTTAAGAACATAAAATTTATTAAAACACAATTCAAATGTCGAAAAAGCTCATTTCACGCCATCTAGGAATCACAATTTTCCCGGGGAAGAACACCCGGACCACCCTTTCTTGTTGGGATTTATCGATTCATGGAAAAAATAATACGCATGCAACTACTCATTTGTTTATGTATACACAAATAAAACAAAAAATGAAAAAAAAAATACCTGAGGGGAAAACCTTGAATTTTGAAGAAATTAAAAAGTCATTTATAAATGACATTTCAGAAGTCAGGAAACCTCATTTCCCGCCATCTAGAAATCCTGGGGGAACCCGGACCCCCTTTTTCTTTGGTGTTCATTGATTCATTGAATCATTTTCAAGAGGGGGAAAACCTTGAATTTTGAAGAACTTAAAAGTACTTAAAAGACACCTCAGAAGTCGGGAAAACTAATTTCCGCCTTCTAGGAATCAAATATTTTCACGGAGGAGAACCCCCGGATCCCCCTTTCTTTTTGGGATTTATGGATTCATGGAAAAAATTCGTATGCAACTACTCATATTTTTTTTTAATTTTTATGTATGTACACACACATAAGGCCTATTTATTGTAAAAGCAATGGGAAAAAATTACCTGACCGTTTTCAAGAGGGGAAAACCTTGAATTTTGAAGAACTTAAAAGTAATTAAAATACACCTCAGAAGTCGCTTTAATTAAAATCGCTAAAAGATACTTTAAAAATCGGGAAAGCTCATTTCCCACCATTTAGAAATCAACATTTTTCCGGGGAAAATCCGAACCTCCCTTTTCTCTTTGGGTTCATTGATTGATTATAAAAATTTTCAAGAGAGGAAAACCTTGAATTTTGAAGAACTTAAAAGTAATTAAGACACCTTAGAAGTTGTAAAAGCTCATTTCCCGCCATCTAGGAATCAAAATTCTTAAATTACTCATTTTTTTTATGTATGTTTACACACGTCAGGCCTATTTACTGTAATAAGAATGAGAAAGTTTACCTGACCGTTTTCAAGAGGGGGAAAACCTTGTATTTTGAAGAACAAAGTCATTAGACACCTAGCTCAAAAGTCGAGAAAAGTCATTTCCCGCCATCTAGAAATCAAAATTTTCACGGTGGAGGACCCCGGACCCACCTAGATTTGATTCCAGATCTGCATGATCCATATTCCAATTAATCTTATGAGTTTCATTCATCTTTGGAAAACGTTTCGCCGGCCCTGGTATTTACCGTCTGCTAAGCCCCGCCCATCTGTTGTGATTTTTCAGTTGTTAAGTTTGCTTGACACTTAGATGACTATTTTAATGTATATATTTTGACAGATGACTGTAGACAGCCCGATGCACAATATTGTATATCGGTAGTCTATAAAAAATATTGTGATAATCCGGATGGAGCGTTTGCACAAGAAATGGCGTACTGTCCACACATGTGTGGGAGATGCCCCTGTGGGTAAGTCAATGCATTTATCACGTAATACTCTAGGTGTTACGTCTAGAGAGTGTCATGTTTTAGATTAATGGCTCTTCCACAGTGGCATGTTCAAACGGTTCAAAAAACATCGAGGGCCGTCGGAACCGCACCGGCCACACCACTTTGGCCGGACCACTTTTCTCAATTCTATTAATACTTTTTAAAATAAATATATAGGCCTACTGATACCTATACATTATATGACTTTATTATGAATGTTGGCATCGGATTGTCTTTTTAATGTTACATATTATTTAAACAAAGGCCATATAAAAACAAGCACATGGTAGGCTTTTGTTTAAATATGTAACATAAAAAGACAATCCTATGCGAACAAAATAATAAAGTCATATAATGTATAGGCAGATCGTCGAGTAAAATATGGTGTTTGAATTCGGTAGTTCCTTCATCAAAATCATTCCAAAATGAAGTATACCCGTGATATAATAGTTCATTTTTTAGATTTTCAAAATGTTTGTCTCTTATATTACTTAGTTGAGAACCTGTCTCTTATACACATCTAGATGTGTATAAGAGACAGTTCCAATACAGGATTTAGAACGTAAATTTTTTTTTTTTTTTAATGCTACTATGTAATGTTATCTCTAAAAATATAACTGGGATAAAATTAGCAATACCCACTAGAGGTGACTGTTCAAAACACAGACCTTGCACATTATGATATATTGAGAAAAAATAATAAATATATTATTATGAATAATGTCAGTTAATTCTGACGAAACGTGAAAACATTACCAAGTTTATTTCCTTGCTAGCCCTTTCCTAGGCCCTGGCCTATGCTAGCTCGATTACAAAATAAATAATAAAATCGTTCGCAAATAATAGGCCTCATAGGCTACGACCCTACCCTACCTAGCAACGCTAGACCTAGGGCCTAGGCCTAGCCCGAAAAAGTACACCCGTCCCGCCGCCAGGCAGCATCATGAGCAAGTGGTGAAAACAAGGGTGAATTTTCTAACTTCTTAAATTTTGTGATTTCTTCGTTGCTGGCCTTGAAGCAAAAAAATCGGTTATCCTTTCTCAGCGCTTCATCCTCCTCCTAGGCTATTTTTGGCGTGTCGCATGTCCTCGATCCCAGAGAAATGAAAAATGTCGAGCGCCCAAACTTTTGTGATGACGTCGTGCCAAAGTAAATAAAATACGGAGCACGCGATTGGTCAAATAGCTTAGGCATCAAACCTCTCATTAATATTCATTTAGAAGTCTTGCTAGTTACGTCATTCAGCTGGCTGCAGGTTGTTTTGATTTCTACGATCGGACTACGAACGATAGCGACAAATAAACAGTGCCAAAATGCTCCTATTTTGTAATAAATTGCACTATTTTGGAAACGGGGGATCGTTTTCTGGTTAAGGGGGTTCGCTGAAAAAGGGGGGTTCGCCCGAACCCCAAAAAACCCCCCTGGCTACGGGCCTGTTTATAATTCTATTAGTCTTTAAATGCAGTGTTTTCGCCAATAAGTCATCAAAATAATATATTCCTGATATAGTCAGCCAGTGACGTCAATTAATATTCGGCGAAGATACAGGCGTCTCTGCAGGAGGATTCCCGTAGCCAATCATTTGGTCAATAAATCTGCGTTTACATTGAATCCGAATTATCAAATCGGAAAATCGAATCAGTGTGTAAGAATCGGGACACTAGCGTTCAGCGCATTAGAGACACGATCCAAATTTCAGTTCGGTTGACCCGAGGTGAATGCAGCTGAACACCACATGAACACACACACCCTCGCGCCCTCTCTCATATTTGTTTCTGTCTACTTCTTAGGCCATAGATTTTTCCCTCGCTTTCAACTGATCTTTGAGTATAGTATAGTATAATATCTATTGTTATCCATTCCAGAAACACAGAATCAATTTACATATTACAAAATCAAGAAATCATTACAAAACCTAAGAGCAAAACATTGACAATAAGACAAAATAACAGAAGATCGGATCCGGAGATGTCCGAAAGGGGGAGGGGCGGAAGTGGCGCTGATCGAGATAACACTACACTTGGGGTCCGGGGCGGGGCATGCCCCCACGAAACTCTGGTGTTCTAGACGCCCACAATTAACTTATCAGGCGCCTTGGGCGACCATTTTTGTTTTTACTTTCTTTACTTTTTTGCTTTCTAGAAGGTGGGAACCGGGCCGGCCCGACTCCCTCCCATCAAATTCGCCCCTGCTTTAAGCTGATAGGTGTGTTTCAGAAGGGATCCCAAACAAAAAAAAATATGGAAATATAGATGATATAATTAAGTATTAAGACAAAAAAAGAGAATATAACAATATGTACAAATTTTAAACGTACACATTTTTTAATTTATACAAAAAAAAACGCTTGATGTCTGTTACTCTTTTCTATCTGGAAATATGATGTTGCTTAATTATTTTTAAGAAGCTGTATGTTGTATTTCTCCCGATCATTGCTGAACTATATTTACCTGAGTCTCAGTCTCAGCGATGGCTCCAGAAATTTGCAAATTTAGGTGCAAACTACAGCCTCGACCAGGGTCCCGGGGAGAATTGTTTTTTTTTTTTATGGATTTGGATAGGCGAATTAATATTTTTTTTATTATAGACAGGGGTGGCTCCAGGGCTTGCCCGACGTTATTGGGGCAAGGTCCTCGACGAGGAGGTCATTGTCCCTGACTAGAACAAAGCATATATAATTTAGGGTTTCAAAGGCAGGGGGGATTTAGGGGTGGGGAGGGCTCGCCCTGCCTCCTCCACCACCCCCCGGTCGTCTAGAAAACAAAAATTTCGCGGGGAATGCCCCCTGACCTCCAAGAATGGTGTTATATCGAGCGGCCCCACTTTTTCCCCCTCCCCATTTCGGACATCTCAGATCCGCTTTTGAAAGGCTTATTTAATCGATTATAGAGTCTACTACTAATATCATAGTCCTACATGCCAAGTTAGACTAATATGCAAGCGTGAGACTTTTGTCCTTAAAACCCCTCCCTATAGGATATTGTAGGCAGCTCCATAATTTTATTCGTTGAGGGCGTTACTTAAAAGAGAAAGCCAACCAAACTCAACCAGGATGTAGTGCGCCACCATTTATTTGTGTTCGAATGACAAAAACCAATCCTATTTTTATTTACTGTAGATGAATATTTAGCAAGAAAGTTACAAAGTATACACACATTTTTATCATATTAGGTGATGCTGCATTTATGCGTGAGATTTTGGTCGTTAAACGTGAGAGCGTGAGACACCCCGAATGCGTGAGCCTTGGCTCGTATGTGTAGAAAATAGGCCTACATAAGATATTTTTTTGTTTCTCAAATTGAATTGTGGTTTTTTTCCCCAGACTGGGGGCGGAGGTGGAAGCTCTCTCGGACATGGGTGAAATTCAACCTGGAGAGGGCCAAATTCATTGCCGTATGCAAGTTTCATACAATGGCCAAATATACTGGGAGAGGATCCATATGACCTCGGCATCGTTAATTTACTTATATTTTACTCATTTTAAACACGACTTCGACTAAACATGATATTTATTGTATTAAAAAAAGATGAATGTTCCTTAAAGTCATTATTATGATATGCTGATAGTGAACTAACAATGTTAGCAATTCTAAGCCTTTTATAACCGTGACTCATTATACTCAATCTTCCCTACGTGGTCAATCGTTGTTTTGTATTTCTGCACGATGATCATCAAATATAATAGGTGTTTAAATGAAAATAATTCGTTAATGAAACAGACACAAGTTGTTTAGATTCTAATAAACCAATACGTAGTTTGAACTGCTCACACCCATATCAATATCAATCGACATTTAAAACAAAACTTCTGTTATCAACAAAAACATCTAAGAGTGCTATTTCAGAGGATCTAGTGGGGGCATTTAAACACCTTAGGACCAAGAAGGAATTCTCAATGATAGGACTGATGTTTGTTTGGACCCTTCTGTCTGAGCAATCACTAATGCCTCCGCCGCCGCAACACCACTTTATCTGCAGCTCCCATTATTAAACAAGAAAGTGACTGATTATTTTCTCAGATGTCTTGGAATATGTTGAAATAGCCGACAGATAGAGTCGGTACGAAGAACGCATCTCTTCCCCGCCCCACCCACTTTAATAAAATTCGGTAGGTTTGATGCCAAGATTGCTGTATCATAAACGACTTCTATGGCATCAAGTTTAAAGTGCATGTGACTGTTCCTTAACACAGAGAGGTGGCGGTAAAACACTATATATGATGTACGGTATGTATACAACTTATACAACTATGATGTATCGCCGTATAAGATCGTATGGTCGGGCTCTGTGGACACTGCCACACGAAACTGCAATGCACAAGCCTTGTCTCTTATACACATCT